GCCATCTCAGGTGCAGCTGTTGGTCTCTGTCCAAATCAAGGAATGAAGAAAATTAAAGATACAGGACATAATTAGTACAAAGGACTAATGGAACCTGTGAACGCCAGCCTCCATGACTGACATCAGAAGAACTAAATGGTGCCTGGCTACCATTGCTGACTGCTGTGAAAGGGATCACAATCATAAGTTCTAGATAGAGTGTGTGTGTGTGTGTTGGGGGGGGGGGGGATGTGGACAAAAACTCTGATAAAAGACCAGGCTTACTAGTCTGATGAGGACTGGTGGACCCCTCGAATCCCTTAAACACTTGAAGCTAGGAACTGAACTTAACCCCTATGACTCAACTGGCAGCCCAGGCAACAGACCTATAAGGTGAATAGTAATATCAGGAAGGTGTGCACTTATTACAGCAGTCAGTGAGATCAAGAGGACAGTATTTGCCCAGGGATAAAGCTAGGAAGGTGAGAGGGGATGGGAAAAAAGGGAAGAGGGTAGGTGTGGGGCAGAAGTGGAAAGAATGCTGTTACAGTGTGGGGATTGCAGTAAATATCACAAAACAATGTGTATGGATTGTTGAATGGAAAACAATTTTGCTCTGCAAACTTCCACCTAAAACAATTTTTTAAAAGAGGTTTGAATCTACCCAGAGGCACCTCTGAAGAAAGGCCTGGTAATCTACTGAAAAATCATCCACTGAAACCCTATAAAGCACAATTCTCAGACATACATGGGATTGCCACAAGTTGGAATTGACGGCGACTGGTTAGTATCCCAGGGAGCTCTGGTGGTGTAGTGTTAAGGCATTTAGCTGGTAACCAAAAGTTTGGTAGTTCAAATTCTCCAGCTGCTCTGCAGAAGAAAGATGAGGCAATCTGCTTCTGCAGATTTACAGCCTTGGAAACCCAGTGTGGGGTCTCTGTGAGATGGAATCGACTCAGTGGAAGTGAGTTTGGTTTGGTTAGTATCCCTAGTGGTAGAAATATACAGTAGGTGTTTCATAAATATTTGAGTTATGTATCTGTTGAATTAATCAATGCCCAAGATAAAGGGGACAGCTACTATTTATTAGCTGCTGCTGAGTCAAAATGTCAACTAGGATTCCTAAATCTCTAAATTTTCAAGTGGAGCTAGAAATCTAGATTTTTATTTATTTATTTTAAATGTGGTATATTGTTTTAAAATAATTGGCAACGAATCCAAATTTGGGGATCAAAGAATCTATATGCAAGATTCTGCCCAGTTTTCCACTTTTATAATTAAACAATATAGCTAAGTAAAATGATTGATAATGTTTACTTAAGGCTTGTTGATAACTTTAAGTTCAAGTCTGTTTAGTGATGGCCACTACCTAGGGAAAAGTGAACAAGACAGCCTTTAAGGTATAAGATGAGAACTTGTAAGACATACGGATCTCTGTAACATTAGTATATCTATTCAGTATGTCTTTATAATATTCTTAGACCTATTTACATGATTCTCAGGTTTTAAGCATACAACACACTTTCCCTGCTGAATTCAGGTGATAAAAGCAGCCTTACTATATATATATACATATATGTATATGTATGTATGTGTGTGTGTATATATAAAACTTTTTTCCAGCTAAGTATTGTTTCTATAGTTGCCTAAGTGACCATTTTTGCCCTGATTGGAAGCTCATTTAACTTCTTACAGTAAAGGTAAACGTTTTTGAAGTTTTAGTGGAACTTCATTGTGCTCCTGGGCCTTTGTTCTTCATGACTTACAGGATAGACTTTTACTGAGTCTCATCTCAGGAGTTAACCACACCAATAGAGTAGTGACTCAGCACAATTAGACTGTCACATTGAAAGGAAAGAATAGCCTTCTTAAACAATATGTAGCATGAAATTTTAGAACTGGAAATGATCATGTGGTGCAGTGTTCTTCAGGAAGATATAGCAGTCCATGGACTGTCTTAGGGCAGGTAAGGGACAGACACTATAAGCAATTCACATTTATGTGTTCTTTGATTCTCTACATTTTCCTAATAAAATGAGATGGCTTATATAAAAAACACATTAAAATACAAACAGAGGGAAAAGCAAGATTATAAAAAATTAGATGATGAGGTAATTTGGGAATCAAGAGTTTGAGTTGGATTTTGTTACTATTTTTGGTAACAACAGGTAAATCATTTAACCTCTCAACCTGTTATCTCACCTGTAAAGAGTAAGTGCCCATCCTGTAAATATGTGTTGAGAGTGTGTGCTCAGAATTTTTTTTTTTAAAGATTAAAATGAGAACATATTTAAGACACTGTCCTAGTGACAAGAATAATAAATGCTCAATGTTAGCTAAAAGTATACCTACCATTATGTATGAATTAATATAGTTGCTATGATACCATATCAGATTGACTTGAGATTTTTGATAAGGTAGAGAGGAAAATTAAGTTACATGAGAAACACGTTTGTTTTTTTCAGGTAAGGTTCTCCTAGCACCAAATGAAAATTCCTACCACAGAGGCTTGGGAATATAGAGCTTTGGAGTCGATTATAAATTCTTGATCCCACTACTAGATTTGCGAATTTGAGCAAGTTACCTAAACTCTCTATCACATATGTGTGATTTAAAATATAGTTGTTTTGAAATTTATATAAAAGTTTTGCTGAATGAAGTCTTTCAGAAATTATCTTTTTCACAGTTTTAACTTGTTTGTAGCTATTTGTCTTCATTATTTTGTAACATTCCTTTGTGTGATTATACAGTTTGTCCCTTCTCTTATTGGCATTTAGGCTATTTCCATGTTTTTTGCTGTTATAAATAGTGGTCCTGTAAAAAATTTCTGTACAGATCTCGTATTCAAGTGGACTCCCCTCCAGTAATCTGCCCTGTAAATTTCAGCTGACTCAGCGGCCCCAAATCCCTCTCTCTGCCTCTGCTCAGCAATATCACCATTCTGGTTTCAACTTCCCTACACCATTCCCCCACCAGACAAGTGGTGAACCTGGGGCTCACCTTGTGTGTTTCCCTGCTATCAAAAAACCAGTCTGCTTTGCTTATTACCTAATCTCTGAAAACAATTGTCCATGCATTTGTCTAGTTTTATAGGTGTTTAGGACAGGAGAAGTGCCCTGGCTTTATAGCCAGAAGAGGGAATCTATTCATCTCTTACTTTCTACTCAAAGTTTTAGTTTTGTTTTGGGCATTTATTGCTTAATAAAGTTGGAATTTATTTATTGTGAATGAATTGTATGAAGCAGTGAAACAGTCCATCCCTTCCCCTTATTTAATTTCTGAACTTTATTTCTTCACTTGTAAAGTGGGGATAATGATCTCTAATATATGATAGGTGCATGTCAGTGGTGTATTTTAACCTCTGGATAGAACTAAGTGCATTTTAAAGAATATCTAAGATATTATATCCCTTTAATGATCTTTAAGTGAAATTCTTACACTTTTTGACTTTTGATATGAGCAAAATATCAGACCTATCAATTTTACTTCTTATTAAAGACAGATTTTAAGACTTTGAAACCAGATAATAGCTAACATTTTTATTACCCTTTGTGCCATGTTCTAAACACTTTAGTGTGTTAACTTATCTAATCCTAGTAACAACCTTATGAATACTATTATTTTCCCCATTTTAAAAATGAGGAAACTGAGCCATAGAGGTGAAATAACTTGTCTAAGGTCAGATAGGTTATTTATAGTAGAACAGAGATTTGAATCCAGGCAATCAGACTTCAGGATCCATCATACTATATTACCATTCAGATTAGCATATTGTGACATCATTCTTTCATGAAACTGAAGGGGCCTACATCCTACTTCGACTCTGATAGGGCCCCAGATCTTGTTCACTCAGAAAAATAAAATCTTCCAAACTTATAGACATTTCAAGATCTTAAAAATCAGAATTTCAAAGCAGTTACTGAATCTAATTTAGAGAAAGTCCTTTTTTAAATCTCTAATTCCAAGATAGTGATGGCCAAGAACCATTCTTTCTGACTTTTGTCTATTTTCTTGCAACAGATTGAGTCTAAGGAATAATATACATTTTTTTATAGCATTCATTACCTTTTAAAATGCTTTCACATGGATTAAATTTTCACTTACCCATACTGTTGGCCTAATAGGTATCAAGCTGTGGACTGAATTGTATGTGGATTATTTTCCCCAGTATTTTGTCCAGCAATGACGTGTATTCCAAGATTCTTGTAGAGACTGTAGCCTTAAGGAATTAGTGAGCCCCATTTACTCATCTGATGCTATGTCACATTTTCAAGTTTATTAGCCTATCTACAGCAGCTGAGAATTGGAAGACACGGTAACACCCACTGCCATCGAGTTGACTGAGACTCATAGAGACCCTATAGGACAGAGTAGAACTGCCCTGTAGGGTTTCCAAGGCTGTATATCCTTGCATAAGCAGGCTGCCTCATCTTTCTCCCATGTGGCAGCTGGTGGGTTAGAACTGCTGATCTTTTGATTAGCCAAATGCTTTAACCACTGTGCCACCAGAGTTCCCAGAAATGGTAATATCTAAGAGAAAATGTGGTTTCTCAAATCAACACAGCCAGTTGAACCTATTAGCCAGAGCTTCTCATGAGATGTGGTGTGTGGTACTAAAAGGTCCTACGGTCTATTTCTAACTACATTTTGGTATACCACCCTTCACTTCTCTCCATCCACTTGATCGGTCAGGTTGTAAAGAATTCTGACTTATGTAAATTCTTGCTTGTGATTATATAGTTAGAAAAGATGATTAACAAAGATTGTTGCTAGAATTATTCATAGACAACCAGAAGCAAAAATAAATTTCTAAATGTCCTTTCTACAGGTAAGTGAGTGAGCTCAAAACACATGTAACAGAATTCTAACAAACACTCAAACACATACACAACTTATAACTTTGGTTTATATTATTTTACCTATTACATTAGTATATCTTGTTAACAATAATATCAAGTAAATCCCTCCAAATGTGCAATGTTTAGATTTAGAAATGATTACAAGTATTGAAAAACCCCATTGATTAAAATACAGTATTTTATTTTTTCTTACCTAAAAAGCAACCCCAAATTAGATATACATAAGCTTCTCAAAATTTATCCCTAATAAAATTTTGTTTATACAATTTCTACAGAAACATACAGTGTATCAAAATCTGCATAAATCAAATTTATAAAATGTGTAGAAATGCATAGTGATATCATCAACTTACAAAGCAAGGATATGGGAATTATTATTTTCAAAGCAGCCTACAGTAGAAAATAGTCATTATGGCAGCAGCTTCTGATGTTTTTTGTGTTTGGTAAATTTTCTGATTTTCAATATATAGACTTTTAATGAATTGCACAAAATACTTTTTAAAAATTTACATGCACAGTTTATGTGCCACCTTTCTCAGGCCTATGCATAGTTAACAAGGTTAGAATCTATTCAACATGGAAAATGGAGTCTATTTGCAAACACACAGTAATCAAAGTACCAATTCTCTCTTAGTTTTTTTTTTATAGTTGATTTATTATGCAATTATATAAGCATATAAATGTATTCCTTTTAAACATCCCTAGAAATGAATGAAAGTTAAAATGGTTGATCACAGATTAGTAGCAAAATACAAGTTGACAATTCAAAATTATAAATGAAACTTTTGTTTAGGATGTTCAAAGCTAAGTTTGACTCTCCAAATTTAAGAGCTAAGCTTACAAGAAAGAAACTTGTAGGCGTTTATTTTAAACAAATGTATGGTGTTTTCTTTTCTCTTTTAAACTTTAATTAAAAATATTTTCCTCTGTCAGTACTTTGTGAATTCCTTTCATTGTAGTATTATGGTTACAAGATCAAAAATGTTTAATTTACTTGCCTTTCCCCATTTCATTTTGTGATTTTTTTTTTAGCATTTAAATACATTAGTCATTTTTAATCTTTGTGATAATAAAAGACTATGTAGAAATTAAAATATAAATTGACTGTTTGCAGTATTTGGTTCTCTTAAAGTAGGTACTGTCTTGACAAATGTTTAACTCAAAACAAATCTCTTCATTGAAAAACTACTAATAAAAATACACTTCCTAAAAACAACAAATTAAACACTAGGGAATTAACACCCAATCTAACAGAAAGTGTGATTCTTATTTGTTAATGAACTGTACTCTTAAATAGCCTTTAAAAAAAAAATGCAGGGAATTTCATTTGGATGAAGATACAAATGAAACATAAATTCACTTGTGACTTCATAGATTGCTTAGGTTAAAACAGGAGTTTTGTAAGACTTGATCTAACAAGGACTTGGACATTCTTACCTAGGTCAGAATGAACTTGTGACATGTTTATGGTGGTATTTCTTTGTATTTTATTACCCACCTTTCAATTTCAAAACTATTAATTTATAGTTTTCTAAAATAACAGGTACTGGGGAAAAGTAAATCCCAAATTTCAGTGGACAACTTTTCTCCATGTTGGAATACCCCTTTGCTATCTTAGGCATTACCTAAGGAAGTGTTGGTAATGCCAGGAGGCGAGGGAGTTAATGCACCACAATCTTCAAACCCTGTGAATAGCCTTGGGATGCTCCATGTTGTCATTTCTTTTTCAAGCAATACAATATTCAACTTCATAGCAAACGGTAGCACATAAATTCATTTCTGAGTAGTAAAATTATTCCTCATACATGTGACAGGTCCATTGTAACCATCCTATAAATTTCATCAAAAGCTCTTGAAATATATACTGAGAAATGAAAGAGGCACTAAATGTGTTGAAATTCACCTTTCAAAAAAGCAGCATGACTGTGAAGGAAGGCCACCTTGGCTAATAACCTGTGGCAGTGCTTCTTAAAGATGTAAAATTAAATAAAGATACAACAGGTTGATAATCACCAAAGTTATATATGAAATTCTGGTTACTCCAACCTTTTTCAAGTGTGTTTAAAAAAAAAAAAAAAATCAAACTGCCTTTCAGACCCCTGAGTGTAATCCCAAAGAAGACAACAATGGTTTTAACTCTGTCCAAATAAAACAGAGCTAAATGCACAAATAACAGTATCATCTTAAAACAAGACAAAACAAAAAAGATGTAAACATCTACAAAGTTTAAGGTAAAAGCAGTTTTGTAAACAGTAACTGCAGATGATAATGTTATTGTAAAATCACAGTTTATCAATGTCCTTCAAACTGATCTGGAGGTTCCAGGTTTGGATCTGTACAGGATTAATAATAGTTGCAGCAGTTTTCAGGCGTTTTTCAGTCCTGTATAAATTTATGTGTCAGCAGGTAGGTTATTGTTTTCTTTTTTTTTTCCTAAATAGTATGGATGTTATTCATTTCCCACTTTTGAGTCGTTTTATTGGAATCACATTTGGAGATGAACACTTGATGTAGAACCTCTGAGCGATCTAAACACTTTCCTGAAGGGATGTGAGTAAACCTGTGCAGGTTCTGGAAAACATGTAAGGAAAAAGAAGATTTAAATGTGGATTCTTTTGATAACACTGATACTAGAAGTCTGAAGACAATTTTTAAGCAAATTGGATAGGGTTATACCAACCATACTTCAGATTTTAACTCCTCAGTTGTTAGTCTTCCAATTGCTTTTATTGTTAAGTCATAATGTATTGCTGATGCCTCAAATTCAATGTATACAAATGCAAATTAATTATCTTGGCCTCTAAACTACTTCTCTAGTTCTTAGCTTGGCTAATGATACTTCCTAGTTCTCAGGATAGAGGTATTTCACTCTACACTTTGCTTAATTCATTCATATTCCATCAATTATTGAGGACTGATGAGTCTATACAACATCCTTGGTACATACCCCTTCTCATCCTCACTGCAGATGCCTTTGTTTAGCCCTCATCATCTGTTGGAGGTTTCTTCCGTATAGCTAGCTCAGTGGCTGTCAAAGTGTGGTCCTTGGACCTCTGGTTATCCAAGATCCTTACAGGAGTCAAAATTATTTTCACAATATCACAAAGACCTTATTTGCCTTATTTATTTTTTATTTTTCCACTGTATTGACATTTATACTAATTGTGCAAAAGCAATGGTGGGTTAAATTGCTGGGGCCCTAGCATGAATTAAGGCAGTGTACCAAATTGTGCTAATACTCATATTTTTCACTGCCACATAGTGAAAAACAGAAAATGCCAGTTTCACATAAGAATGCCCTTGATAAAGCTTTGTAAGGCTTATTGATTTTATTAAATCTTGACGCTGGAGTATAATTTTGAAAATCCTAGTCTATGAAATGAAATGGGAAGTATATGAAAAGCACTTCTGCATAATGAACAACAATGGTTATCAAGAGAAAAAGCACTTGTAGGATTCAGTTGTGAGGTGAACTGGCTACTTTTTTCATGGGATACCATTTTGCCTTGAAATAACAACTTACAGACAAATCATGGTTATTCAAACTTGGGTACTTAGCAGATTTTATAAAAAATGAAGTAAGCCTGTCACTCCAAGAAAAAAAAAATAATACATGAAAGCCATTAACAAAATTGAGTTTTCAAGTAAAAACTGGAGTTTTGGAAAACTTGTTATCTATCACCATGAATTTTACCTATGGTGAGTTAAAGACTTTTCTGATGAGACCAGTTGTCATATGATTTTTTTTTTTGCTATTGTGTAATGAAATGTGTCAATATTTCAAAGATCCACATAGCTCAGTGAGCCAATATTTTCCAAATGAGCAATGCATGATGTTATAAAAGCATACATGGGTGTGGTGTAGTAAATTACTTAGTGTGGCTTTTCTACCCATAAATCTTTTTAAACTCCAAGGTGGGAATTGCTATTAGCAACTGAGGAGATCCTGATTGCTAAAGTTGCCCACCTGCGTTATTTCTGTTGGGCGTGGCACAATACAATGTTCTGGGAGGTGCCCACTCTTTCTCAGGTGCTTAGAGTTCTGATGCTATGATTGGCTAGTTTGACCACCCTGCTGGGCTCAAAAGGAGGCTTCCTAGAGGCAGAACTCTCTCTGACTGCTGGT